CCTCAGTCCCATTCCTGACGTGTCCTGTGTTTGACAGCCTGAGCCGCGTGTCGTCGGAGGCCGCGGTGCACGAGAGGCAGACAGCGGGCTGGAGACAGCGAAGGACGGAGAGAGGATGTTTGCTGTTTGTATAATCGGAGTGACTTACAGGCCCTGGCAGCCATGGTAGCGGTGACTGCGAGGGAAGGCAGCGCTGATGGATCTGTCAGGCGCGTGTCCGCTGTGTGTCACGGCACGTGTGTGTCGCTACCCCTCCTCTGTCCATCACACTGCCTGTTTGTTTGGCTAGAGAAAGAGGAACTGTTGTGTGGGTGATAAGGTGCACTAGAAACAGAGTGAATGACTGTGAACGACAATGTCGTCTGTATAACTGGGACGGGTGGATTTTTTTAATTCCTTGAGAATTTGAGCTGAACTGGCCACTCGCCACGGGACATTAAATGGAATTTGGATTGGAGCGACAGGAAGATACTGAAGTGCAATTCAAGGAAATTCAACACATTCACATGACAGACACATTTCATTCATCATGATAACATGTCAATAATTATATGATTTATTTGGACAAATCTGCGTCTGAATTTTTCCTGATGAGTAATAAATAAATAAATGTAGAAACAATGTTCACTTAGAAATTGCTAGTAAATTTCACAAACAATTATGAATAATTAAGAAATGGCAAGTAGCACATAGAATATGAAATTGTGAAGTAGAAAAACAGAAATCATATTTTCTTGTGAAGCGTACTCCAATAATCTATATACAAATATTTTATTTTTATTTGATATATATATATATATATATATATATTTGTAAAAACATAATATTCTCTAATTGGAATCCCCTGTAAATACCCAATTTACATGCTCATGGATAATTCATATTAATTTCATACTACATTTACAATGAATTTCAGTGAATTCAGTTTATATTCATTTGAAGTTTAGTACATCCTCTTTGCTTCCTGAACGTAAAGTCAACTAAAAGACATTCCTGTATAAAGGGATGTGTTGAGTTACGGGTGTATTTGAGGCGTGATGGTGTGTGTCTTTTGCACAGAGAGGCTGACTTTATAGGCTATTAGATATCTCATAAACATTATGGATCTCTATTGCAAGTGGATATCCAGCAAAGGCAGAAACACAGTCATGTGAAGTCTGCTACAGGACGAATAAATCATTGTATTTTTTATAGCATATAATCACAAAAACCCCACAGTACCATAAACTAGGCTCAGTATTTAAATGATAAAGACTGAGTTATGCAGTATATACCAGGGTTATTATAGTTAACCAGAACTAAATCCATAAAATCACTTTTTGTGTTATTTAAAAGAAAATAAACATAAGATAAAATAAATTATAAAAACTTTTTAAAGAAACAATATTTCTCATGAGTTCAACATGATAAACTAAAACTGAAACAGAAACATTTTTTTTTTTATCTAAATATTAATAAAACAGTACAGTATTTAAATGATAGTAAAATAACACTGGTTTTTACTATTATATCTAGCATGTTTATATTTTGATATGCTAATACATATATACTGTACATTACAGCACAATGGTAATAACTCCAGCTCCAGTGCAAGCATTCAGTATTCAGTTCATAAAACTTGTAATCCATGAATCCATGGCACTGTAGTTTATGGCTGTTTACTAACAGTAGGAGGTGTTTTATCGATTAACAGTTCATTTTGGTGAAAGCTCTGTCAAAACACTGGGCACAAACATCTGCTGTAACACCCTCATCCGTGAACCACTCACCTTTGAGCTTTAATGTGTGTTAATGCGTGCAGCCTATGTTTAATGCACAGCAGAGGCTAATTGCCCTGTGAGCGTTTACTCGACCCGTTCTCCTTTAAAACCACAACAGCCTGCAATTATTCAACACTCAAATGGTCAAAGTACAGCGCATCCCGACCGGATCCAAAGCTCCCATCTGTGTACATTAAAATCCGGGATGGTTGGGCATCACAGGCTACTAGAGAACAAAGCTGGCAAAGTCAATCAGGAGTGAATAGACAGTCGTACAGTAATTGCATGTATTCTTTAGTGTGTTGTTGTCGTAGTGAGGTTTCACTTGGCTATCATTTTTTGATCGCCAAGTGAAAGGAGCCGGTCCTCTGCGGGACACGGAGTCAGCGAGGGTGAAGAAGTGAAGAGGTCTCTCTTTGTTTAAATATCACAGCCTACTTCTGCTGTTTGCTCGGCTGTAAATGAGCAAAGAAAGGCAGAGCAGGAGGGAGAGATTGAGAGAGGGACCGAGGGAGGAACAGCAGCACACGGACACAATCATCATGCATCTTTTTTGGGCAGGTTAGAGACCTCTGTGTAATCTGCATAACATTAGAGGATACCACACACACACACACACACCTCAGATGAACATTTCATTGCTCTTTTATAGCTCACTTCTCTGTCGTGTTGCATCGTATCCACAGGAGAAATAAAAAGAGACGCGTGGTTCACAGATGATGTGGGGAGCACAGCTCAGATCATTTGGTTTAGGAGGATTTTGATGAGAAGTATTTGACTTCATATTGAAATCTCCTGACTTATGGTGTGTTGGCAAATCTGTGCGCAGTTTGTGACATTGCTAGAATCTCTTGTGAAACACTAAAGAGACAGCAAGGAGTAAAGCGTCTGGTAAAGAATCTACTTATATCACAATGTCGAAAAAACAACAACACAACAGAAAATATCAAAATTAAAACTACAGTGGGTATAGAAAATAAGCATCCACCTTTTAAATAATCACATTTTGTGTGATTAAAAACAAAAAACAAAACAAAAAAACAGATTCACTGAGTTGGAAAAAGGACCAGCCCCTTGTGTCAGGATTTTGCTGAAGCACCTTTTGCTTTAATTACAGCCTTTAGTCTGTTGGGATCTGCCTCTACTAACTTTGCATAACTGTTTGCATATCAAGTTCAGTTCAGTTTGATGGTGAGCGTTTGTAGGTGAAAGTCAAATGGCTTTGTATGCCATTGAGAAGGTGATGAGCTGCACCTGATTGAGTTTACAAGTCATTTTTAGGAGGGGGTGATGCGTAAATACAGCTGGATAAAACAAAAACTGTGTCCGTCTTCATTTCAGGCTGCAAAGCAACAAAATGTGATTGTTTTAAAGGGATGTGATTCTTTTCTATACCCACTGTGTAGTCGTAACACTGGCATATACTGTTATACATTATATATTAGATTTGTTTTCATTTAGTATACATTCTTTTATACTTATACATATATACACATTACAATTAATTTGTGATAATCAGTTTAAATGGGTGTTATACTTTATAAATTAGTGCTGTTTTGGTATCATTGATATTACAGTTAATTATGAATTAAAAAAATATATATATATTTTTTAGTAATTTTGTTGTGTGTTTTCTCATTTTCATTAGTTTTTGTTTAGTTTTTTTTCTATATAGATTTAATGATCTTTTATTTATTAGTCTTGGTTCATTTAGTTGTAGTTATCTTGGTACTTCAAGTTAAATGAAACAAAAGTGAGAAATGTTGCTCTGGAATCCACCTGAAATAAAATAATAATATAATAATGATATTTTATTTTATTTCGGTTCATGTTTATTTTATTTCAATAAAAAAAAAAAAAGTATTGTCTTTTCTTTTCTTTTTTATGGTTTTAGTTAACTACAATATGACTATAAATAAGGCTGCGATATTACAGACATTTATTTCTTAATAAAGTGGTTCAGATGAGTAATTAGTATACGTTTACAGCTAAGCTGATTATTAGAGGCCTTCAGAATTGGCACGCTCTTTCATTACCATACTTATTTCAGAGTCCTACAACTGAGAACAAGCAGTATTTGAATATCTCAGTCGATTGTTGTCCTGAATTATTTAAATAAGGACACAGAGAGATAGAGAGAGGAGCTGTGCCTATCCTACCTTCCTGCTATTTCTCAATGATAATAAATCCCTGATGGAACGAACAAATATGCTGAACCAGACCAGGGGCTGTCAAGCTCAATAACCATCCATAAAAGTTGTTCATAGGATTTGTGCGCTATATTCCAAGTTTTCAGAAGCCATAGCTTTGTGTGAGGAATTGAATCTAAATTGGATATTAGTCTTCAATGGGAATCTTGCTTGACAGCTATGGTCAACCTTCACTTCTATTGTGTAGAAAAAAGCAGCAGCTTGGACATTTTATTGTAAATAATCTGTTAAATTGAAGAAAGAGAGTCAAAGACATGGATATGGAAGCCCATTCCTCTTCATAGTAAAAAATAAATGGGTAATTGTGAGTTCATGTTTAAAATAAGAAATAAAGTCACGTTTTTAGGCATGCAGTATTATCAAGATAATTCATCAGTTTTAGGATCATTAAATTGCATATTCCATATTTAATTTATGGTTTAAAAAAGGGAAAAGAGAAGGAAACAAACGTATACACATGTATAAACACATTGTTTTGGATTTGTATGTCCTATATGTTTTTTAGATGTGAATTTTTTATTTTTTTTTTATGCACAAACATGCATCCATTTATCATGAGAGAAACGTAATTTTGGTTGCATTGTCCCTTTAAAAAAAAAATTAATTCCAGCTCGAAAAATTGATTCATGCATAATATGCCAGTTTGCAACTGTAGATGTGGGAAACGCAGACATCATGTTGTTAGAAAATGTTAATGTACTAATGTGATTAGGGAAATGCGCATAGGGTGAATGCAAGTCCATTTGGGTATCTGCAATTTTTTTTGATACATGCTAGTAGGTATAACCTCACCATCGGCTGCGGTGTCTGCTTAGATTTCCCTTTCACTGATTTGAGTCTTAATGTGTCCGACAATCTTTGCATGTTTTATAAAAACACTCTCTTGAGCGTAGCATGCGGGAGCTTCAGACTGTGTGTGTGTGTGTGTGTGTTTGGGAAGGTTATAGTGTGTCAAGAGAGACTCACAGACAGAGGGAAGAGCTTCAGCATGAGAGCTAAACTGTTTTCCTCTGTGCTCTGATTCCTGTAGGAGCGCACCCATGGAGCGACTGCTGCTGTGCCTGGCTCTGTTCTCCATGGCGTCCTATGCCATGCTGTGCCCCAAACGCTGCACCTGCCAGAACCTGCTGCCCTCGTACACCGTGCTGTGTGCCAAAACCGGCCTGCTCTTCGTGCCGCCTAATATCGACCGGCAGACCGCCGAGCTGCGACTGATGGATAACTTCATCACCACCCTGCGCCACCAAGACTTCGCTAACATGAGTAGCCTCATACACCTCACGCTCTCCCGCAACACCATCAGCCAGATCCAACCGTACGCCTTCACCGACCTGCAGGATCTGCATGCGCTGCATCTGGATGCAAACCGGCTCACGGTGCTAGACGACACCCATCTGCAGGGGCTTGTGAATCTGCGCCACCTTATCCTCGCTAACAACCAGCTTCACAGCATCTCCGACGGAGCCTTCCAAGACTTCCTAGAAACTCTCGAGGACCTCGACCTTTCTTACAACAACCTGATGGACGTGCCGTGGGAAACTATAGCCATGCTAGCCAGCGTCAACACCCTCAGTTTGGACCACAATCTCATCGAGTTTGTTCCCGAAGGGATATTTTCGAATCTTCATAAACTCGCCCGACTTGATATGACGTCCAACAAGCTGAAGAAGATCCCCCCAGATCCTCTGTTCCTACGGATCCCCGTCTACGCCAAAATGAAAGGCTCGCCGCTGACCGCGTTGGTTCTCAGTTTCGGCGGGAACCCGTTGCATTGCAATTGCGAGCTGGTTTGGTTGCGCCGCCTGACGCGGGAGGACGATCTGGAGACGTGCGCGTCCCCGCGAGACTTGGCCGGCAAGTACTTTTGGACGATTCGCGAGGAAGAGTTCGTCTGCGAGCCGCCTATGATCACCCGACACACTTCCAAGATGTTCGTAATGGAGGGTCAAGAGGTTAGTTTGCGATGCCGCGCCGTCGGAGACCCCGAGCCGACCGTCCACTGGGTCAGTCCGGACGGGAAGCTAATCGGCAACACCTCACGCACCGTATGTTACGAGAACGGCTCTTTGGATATCTTGACAGCCACGGTTAAGGACTCCGGTGTGTTCACCTGCATAGCCTCGAATGCGGCCGGCGAAGCCACGGCTCCTGTGGAATTAGTCGTGAACCCTTCGCCGCATTACGACCCCAAACTCGAGCCGGAGCTGGGGCCCTCAGACATGCCAACGTCCATAAAGTCCAACAGCAGTGGTAGCGGTGGCCAGACTCGAGCTGATCAGCGGATCAGCGTCTCAGAAATAACCTCAAGCTCTGCGATGATCCGCTGGCCTCCGCAAAGCCAAATCCCCGGAGTTCGCATGTACCAGATCCAGTACAACAGCTCCACCGACGACATCCTCATATACAGGTGAGTTTCCTCACAGAACCTTCTGATAAATCCAAGTTTATTTGTATATCACGATACATACTGTTTCAAAGTAGCTTTAGAGAAAATGCATGTTTCAGGGTTACATGAAGTATTCTGCTATCAGTCAGAGATGAGTGTAGTAAAGTCCATATGGAAGTAATATAGAGCTACATATTATGTGGTTAGTAAACATCACGTATTCAGAATAAGCAGAGACAATGAACATGTTTGACTCATAATAACAATATGAGGATAATATTTGAAGTTTTGTATGCCAATCCAAAGTTGGCATCATCACAATTCTGAAAAAAAAGTCTTCGCAATCTGATGACTGTAATTATTGCATAACTTTCTGTCATCTATGATTTGCACCAGTGTTATTTTAGTATAACTGAGGTATTATTATACTATTTATTAATAGTTTTAATTACATTTTATTTTTTCCATTTTAAATTTAGTTTTTTTGTTGCAATTTTGTGTTTGTCGTTTTTATTACTTTTTCTTTTTTTATGTCTTAAATAAGTTAAATTAAATAAAAATGTGAACTGTTTCCTCAACAGCTAGCTGAAGTTTTTAATATTTTATTTTAATATTTATATTAATTCATATTAATATTTAACATTTAATTTTAATTTATTTAATTATTTTAATAAATTATTTATATAGTTTTTCATGGTTTTAGTTTTACTTAAGACCCCTGGTTTGCACTGAATTTCTACATGATTAGACAGTGATTGTTATTGATAGTAGAAATCTATAAGGACATGAGCGGCATGTCAGAACGCATCAGTGCTAAATTGCTTTTATTTTAATCAATGAAGGTGTCTACACTGGAGGTTGACAGACGCCCCATTGGTATTTTTAATGAGCTGCTCCAGACGCTTTATTACCCCCTTCCATCGAAAAATAAAATGATTTTACCAATATTAATGTGATTTTTTTTCTTTCTTTAATCAGAGCCAGCTCATGGTTTTCTGCTCTCTGTTCTACTAATTTAAATCAACTGTTGCTTCTAATTTATTCCCAGTGGCTGCAATACCAACATAATAATTATATAATTAAAAGCTAAAAATAGTTATTCACCCATTTTACTGTTTCTGAAGTCCAGCATAGAGCTCACAGCTGATTCGTTGGTAGTAAATGTCTGGTTGATGAGCAGAAACATATTTAATTTTTCTGAAGTATATTGAAAACAAGATTCATGAAAACATTGCAATGTGACATGAAGATTACAGCAGTTTAATTGTCAACTAGTAGTGGCTTATAGTGATATTTAGTAGCAAAATACAGGCTGCTTGAGTGTCCAGATTGCCATGAAGTCTGCAGATGCAAAATCATTCATGCAAGATCTGCTGAATCCAAATTTTTGAAAGCTTTAAAAATCTCTGCAACGTCTTTTTTTTTACAAATGCATTATTTGAGAAAGCACTGTGGATGGTCTATCCCCCCAAATGGGTTTTTGAATCTGGGTAATTCTGCATTAGATAAACAAATTGATTCTGTCTTTGTTCAAAGGCAACGGCTGGCATCCGAGACTGGGGGTGTTAATAGCTTATGGCGGAATGCTATTCAGATAGGGAATGAAACATTGCAATTCCTCTGATGAATACAAATGGACCTCGATGATTGCCAGCCAACAAAGACCCAAAAATATCATGAATGCAATATATGAAATGCATGCATGCATTTTATTTAATTTTTTCTGTGCTAAAGAAAGGATGCTTCCCAAAGGCTCCAGCTGTTTTAGGATATCTGCTTGTCAGAAAAGCTCTTGAAGGATTTTCATTAGCACACAGACAGATTGGCTTTCACGGTAATAGTTTCAGCCTGATGCGATTCAAACTGAATTTTGCAAAGCAGGAACCTTGAGCCGACGGATTGACACCCTTCAATAAATCACAGAGCTCGAGGTGCAATGAGAAAGACAATAATAACAGAATAACAATAGAAGCTGCGTGTCGAGTGCTTGCCCTGGTTTCAGATGCTCCTGACAGATTACAACGAAGGCGTATTTGCACTGATGTTGAAATACGTCTCGAATTCAAAACACAATATTTTGCTTTGCAAATATTGAGAGGACAAGCTAATTTTTGTGCGGATGCCCTATATTTTGGGGTTGCGTATATGGACGTCGACGCCCCTGACGCAGAAACTACTACATTAATGTTCCTTTTTAGCATTCAGACGTGGCCCACCGCCCATGATTTCTCATTGAAGGGATCTGTAAGGATGTAATTAACTCTGCAATAATCCCTCTGGATAGATTAAGAGAGAAGAAAAGATACATACAGCAAGCAATTTGCTATTAATTATGGAAAAGGCAAGGGGAGTTCTCTGGTTTATAGAGCTGCAGAGTAATCTAAAAGTCTTTCAGAATCAATTAAGAATGCATGCGCCTGACTCCCGCTTGACAGGGGCCCGGGTTGGAGTACGGGTGACTTGGAGATGGTGGCTGAGAAACTGAGACCGGGGTGAGAATATAGAGTGTAAACTTTGAGTCGAAAGGGCAGGTTAAATTTGAAGTGATGTCTGGGTGAAAGAGCTGGAGGCACAGTGTGTGTGGTGCCAAATGAAGACCTGGATGAAGTGCAAGTCTCATGGAGTACGTTTATGTCAGCAGGCATTCTCTTGGCAGACGCTCTCTTAAAGGGATAGTTCACCCAAAAAAATTCAAATCTGCTGTTAATTTACTCACTCTCAGGCCAGCCGAGAGTGAGTAAAGAGTAAAGAAAACGATTAGCTGAAACCGTGGTCATTGGTGATTCATAAAATATCAACACCAGCACTTCGAGAGTAAAATAAAAGCATATAAAGGCAACACAGAATGAATACCAGTTGCTCCTGATGATATATTGAGGTGTTATAAAGTGAAATGGTTGGTCTGTGCAAGAAATTGAACATTATTTACAACATTATTGCTTGTATTACCCATATTTTTGTTTTATTCTCAAAAATGGGCAGCTGGCCATATTATAGTTTGCATTTGTTTAATTAGCTGAACTTAAAGGGATAGTTCACCCAAAAACGAAAATCCTCATTATATGCTCACCCTCAAGTTGTTCAAAACTTGCATGAATTTGTTTCTTCTGCTAAACACAAAAGAAGCTATTTTGAAGAAAATGGGTAGCTAAACATTTGCTGGCGGCCATTGACTTCCATGGTATTTTTGGCAACCGTCAACTCTTTGTCTCACAACATTCTTCAAAATATCTTCTTTTGTGTTCAACAGAAGAAACTAATTCAAACAGGTTTGTAACAAGTGGAGGGTGAGCAAATGATGACAAAAAAAGCAAAACAATTTTTTTTGGGTGAACTACCCTTTAAGAGTTTTTGACCCACTAAATTGGGGGATCATATGTAATTTCATAATTCTATTTTCTTGGTTAAAGTTACTGCTGAAAAAGTTATATAATATACTTTAATGTATTTCTATTGAAACTTAAGTGCATATTTATATTATAAAACATTTTACAATTAAATGTAATAGCAAATAACACTACAGTAATTTGACATTATTACAAAGTGTATCTATTATCTGCAATTAAAATTGCAGGAATCGTTCAGCCAAAAATTTTAATTTTGTTGTTACAAACCTGTATGAATTTCTTTCTTCTACTGAAGAGTAAAATAAGATGTTTTGAAGAACAAACAGTTCCTCGTCCCCATTGACTTTTATAAATTTTTTGCCCCGTATTATAGAATTCAATGGGGACCAACAGCTACTTGATTTCCCATATTCTTCTAAATATCTTCTATTATGCTCAGTATAGAAAGAAACTCATACAGGACCACCAGGAAGGTGAGTAAATGATTACATAATATACATTTTTGAGAGAAAGCGTATTCATATACACCGGCACAGTCTTTAGAATTTCTCCTTTTGTTTTTTACAGAAGAAAGATGAAATAATTTTTGGCGACCTGTTTCTTTAAGAGAGCTCTAGGTGACGAGGGTCTCTGTTTGAGAATGTCACTGTCATTATCTTACTTCATCTTTTCCACATTATCATCTCTCCCTCCCTCGTTATTTGCATGTTTTCATCTTTAATTCAAGCCGCATTTAAGTGGGTAATTAAGCAGTGCTAGCTCCTTCAGAAGACAGTGAGATGACAGGGTTTCTGTGCCAAGAGACACATCTTCAGAAGAGCTCGAAGCCCCTTCTCTGTTTACAGTGACTGCTCAGAGACACGGGTGCAGCAGCCTGACCCTCGGCAGCTTAAAAGGACCAATGGCTGCCAGAACTGAGAGGATTTTTTCTCAATATATATCCATCAAATGCTCTGTGAGAGGATCCAGAGGAGCAGACTGAAGGGAGATTCCTGTATCTGCTCATTAGCAGGTGACACTGCAGCAGCTAACAAACCGAACGCTTATTAAAACTCACTGACAGCGCTGTTAACAGTGTTTAACGCCTACGAGACATAACACAGTGTGTGTGTGTATGAATATGCTAATAGAGTTCAACAAATAATAGAATAGCTGATCAGTGGTCACGTAATTGTCAAAACAGCCACATTTACAGTAATAAGTTGTTTTATTTAAAATGTTTTTTTTTATTATTATTTAGATTTTTTTATTTATTAATTTTTTTAATGAACTTTAATGAATCATTTTAATAAACACACACACACACACACACACATATATATAGCTCTGGTTATTTATCTATTTATTTATTTATTTATTAATATTGTAACAAAAATGTATCTTGGAAAAAAAAATACTGTATTAGAATATTACATCAAAAGTCATTATAATAATATTCAGATTGGAATGTAAGATTTAACATGCTCTAGTTATTTGTTTGTTTGTTTGTTTTCAATATATTTTTTATTAAATAATGTAATAAAATATATGTTTTTTTTTTTATTATTTTTGTATTTTACATTAATTTAAATGTCCTTAGTAAGCTGTTACTATAATATTCAAACTGAATTTAAGATTTGACATGCTGATTGTTTCTTTATTTTTAATAAATATTTGTTATGAAATAATTGAATAAATGTAAATCTATTATTATTATTATTATTATTATTATTATTATTATTATTATTTTACACTCATTTAAAATGTTCTTCGCAAGCCGTTCTAATAATATTCAGTATGGATTTAAGATTTTATTTTTTGGTTATCTATCTATCTATCTATCTATCTATCTATCTATCTATCTATCTATCTATCTATCTATCTATCTATCTATCTATCTATCTATCTATCTATCTATCTATAACACCGGAGCAATTCGCTGCCGATATGTAAAGTAAATTCATATGTGGCTGTTTGTCAATCTCAATCCAAAACTACAGCTAGTTTCCTACAGTGTCTAAGCAGTTACCAATATGCACACTTACACTCTCACACTCACACACCATTACCCTCACAGTCAGCCCGCGCTCGCAGGAGGAGCTCGGTCAATTACCCACAGGGTCAAATGCAAAAATATGCGGTCATACAAACACACAACACACAAACACGCCGCGTCACCCAGGGCAAGCTGCGCTGCACCTCCTCACCTCAGAACCTGCTCACGGCTGTACCACCAGCTTGGCAAAAATAATATTCAGGAACATGTTACTTGAAGCCTTCACGTATAATGCATTACAAAAATATTCATAAATGAATGTTGCAATGCATTGTATCTCATAAATAGTCGTAAACAAAGTTAAAATGCAATATAATATTTGCAGATTCCTTGTTACACATGAAATCGTTTTTTCATCATTTGTTTTAATGCATTATACTTTCCAAAAGAGGAAAAATGAAGTAATATATTGTATTATCACTGTGGTTACAATTACTCATGAGATCCTGTCAGGCATTATAAGACACACTTAAAGAGGTAATTAATTACTGGCAAGATGGGGCTTTAATAAAAGTTGGCTGTCTATGCAGTAGCACTTTTTATTTTTATTTTTATTGGTGCTACACAACTAGAGAAAACAGAGAAAAAGGTTGGGGATACAAGAATGCATATGCTATCTGTAGATTTCACAAAATCCCTGAAGATGTTTTTTTTTTTAAAGTCTGCATTACGTAAAATGCATCATTTTGCTGACAAATAAATGTGAGCCAGCCAGGACCACAAAACATAACTGAACCAAACAAAACATAAGTGTCAATTTTTCGAAATTGAGATTTATACATCATCTGAAAGCTGAATAAATGAGCTTTCCGTGTTTAACTTGTTTTATTTACTCACTACAACCTATTTTTATATTTACATTGCATTACATTACATTGGGTTAACTTTGGACTCTGACAGCTAAATACAATTGCAATAATAAAAAAAAAAAGATGTATAAATGTGTATACATTATGGGGCAAAAGTTTGGATTCTTGTTTTAGTGTTTTTTTAAAGAAGTGTCTTATGCTCAACAAGGCTGAATTAATTCGTACAGTAAAAAAAACAAAAAACAATATTGTGAAATAGTATTCTAATCTAACTGTTTTCAAGTTTGCCATATTTTAAAATGTAATTTACGCCTCTTATGATCAAGGAGGCTGCATTTATTTAATCAAAAACAGTGAAATAAGTTATATTGTGTAATATTATTGCAATTTATAGAATTGTTTTCTATTTGAATATATTTTAAAATGTAGTTGATCTGTTCTGCTCTCCAAGGCTGCATTTATTCGATAAAAATACAGTAAAAACAGTAATTTTGTGAAATATTATTATAATTTAAAATAACCAGTTTCTGTGTGAGTATCTGTTAAACTGTAATGTATTTCTGTGAGGCACAGCTGTATTTTCAGCATCATTACGGCAGTCTTCAGCGTCACATGATCTTCAGAAATCATTCTAATATGCTGATTTGCTTCTCAAGAAACATTTCTGATTATTATCAATGTTGAAAACAGTTTTTTTCAGGATTCTTTGTTGAATAGAATGTTCACTGAACAGCATTTATTTGAAATAGAAAAAAAATTATTTACTGTCACTTTTGATGCATTCAATGTGTCCTTGCTGAATGAAAGTATTAATTTCTTTCAAAACATCTTACCCCAAACTTCTCACGGTTTCCACAAAAAATATTGTGCAGCACGACTGTTTTCAACATTGATAATAATCAGAAATGTTTCTTGAGCAGCAGATCAGCATATTATACTGATTTCTGAAGATCATGTGACACTGAAGACTGGAGTAATGATGCTGGAAATACAGTTTTGTTCATAGAAATACATTTTATTTGAACAGATATTCACATAGAAAACAGCTCTTTTAAACTGAATTTTTTTTTCACAATATTACAGTTTTTTTACCGCATTTTTAAATCAAATAGATGCAGCCTTGGTGAGCGCAAAGTCTTAATTTTTTAAATGCTCAAGGCCTGATTCTCTCTTTCTTTTTCTCTCTCAGAATGATTCCCGCCTCCCATAAGTTGTTCTTACTGAGTGATCTGGCCTCGTCACGGGACTACGAGCTCTGCGTCCTGGCCGTCTATGATGACGGCATCACGGCTCTGACCGCGACGCGGCTGGTGGGCTGCGTGTCCTTCTCCACGGAGCGCGAGTTTCGCCACTGCCGCTCCATCCACGACCAGTTCCTCGGTGGCACCATGATCATCATCATCGGCGGGATCATCGTGGCGTCGGTCCTCGTCTTCATCTTCATCCTGCTGATGAAGTACAAGCTTCACAGCCAGCACTACAAGCAGAAGGCGGCTCTCGTCAGTAATGTTTGTTCTCAGACCAACGGTGGCCAGCAGGGGGCGGCATCCTGTCCTCCGCCGCGCTCGTCCTCGGGGTCCTCCAGCAAGCCTTCCGTCCCGCTCGGGTCGGACAGACAAGAAGGGTCCCACGGCCTGGAGGGGGGTTACGGAGCACTTAAAGGGACCACGGTAGTGGACTTGAACCCGGAATACGGGAAATCGGTCAAAGAGGACGACTCCATTTCGCAATAACACAGGGTTCGATCCCACCTCCCTTCCCATACTCTTCACATCTCAACTCATTCTGTTTATTTTCTGTTGTCGGCGTCCTGCAGCCTTACAGAGGATTTTCTCCTGTCCAAGGTGAGGACGCTATTCTCTCGTCTCCTCTATCTGTTAAGGTTTGTTGCTAGGCAACCGGGATAGAATCTCCCCACGCTACAGTGCTGCTGATGCAGAGATGTTCCAGTTCTGTTAATTAGACCTGCTTTAATGGATACATTACAGGCATAGCGGCTCTGCTGTCTGTCTGCGTCAGGGTAACGGGCCTAAAAAGATTCCCCGAATGGTACGGTGCACTTGAGATCACTATTTAAATTGATAGCCTGACAGTTGTTTCGTTCAATAGGATGCATTTGAATTACAAAGGCGTAAAATTGAAACACTTCGCCTAGTTTGGATGTTTGCAATGAAAAGGAGAGGAATCCTATGGTTTGCACATTTTAGTACATTAGACTCATGTGTATGTTATGAATATCCCTGCTGAGTATGGAATAGCACACATTACTGTTTTCCTTTGCGAGGTGCAGGTCATGCGTCTAAATATTGGTATTTTGCAGGGTTGTGTTTAAATTACCACTTCAACACGGTATTATGAGTCCAGGAGAGATTTAAAGGGACAGTTCACCCAAAAATGACAATTCTGTCATTTACTCACTCTGTCATTCCAAGCCTGAATGAGTTTCTCTTCGATTTGAAGAATGTACGTAACCGAGCAGTTGACGGCAGCCATTGACTTCCATAGTATGGGAAAAAATGCTATGGAATTCAGTGGCTACCGCCAGCTGTACATTTACCCACATTCTTCAAAATGTCTTTTTTTTTCGAAATGAACCGCAGCTTTGCGGATGTTGATTTCTAACCCTGTCTGTAGCTCAACTGAGTGCTGAATCATGATCTAATGTTTTAATGGACCGCGATGGATTCAAACGCAGGACCTGTTTCTAAAATTAGTGCACAATTAGAGCTCTTTCTTCTAGTCGCTTCAGATGGATTTACATTTCCTTCAGCTCCGTGTGAAATGTGAGAGATCGGGATGCGGGGATAGAGATGCAAGGCCTGGCAAAGAGCTGCGGAGATAGTTAAAGGCGCTATGATGGAAGAAAAGAGGGCAGATATGAGTATTGTGATGGGGTTTAGAGATTGAGATAAAAGGGTGAAGGTCTAGCGTCTCACATATTGAGACAAATGGGCTAATCTGAGGGGTGGGATGTTGTGGAATACCAGCAGAACTATAGTAGAAGGTAATTACTGTTTGTCGTGTGCCATAGAAATGGGCCGCCACCTCCTGGAACCTGAATCCCTCCAGACTGCAGCAGGACACACTGCACTAAAAATAGCCGTCTGAATAAGGCCTTGCATTAGCAGCTCTCTGCAGATAACTAGAGCCGCAACATATACCAGGCCTTGTTCTTGCTGCTGCTGAAGGCTTTGTTAGTTCTGCATTAAATCTGGGAGGAAAGTCTCAGCAAATTGATGATGGTTGAAGTTAATGAAGTCGTTAAATGTCCAATTAGCATGCGCTATGTATATTCACCCACGCTCTCTGTTTATGCAAACTCAGCTGATGTTGTGAGGAAATCGTTTGCGTATCCTCGGCTGCTGTTTCCTCTGGATGTGATAATGTGTGCTAACAGAGTTAACCTGTATGCATGCTGGACAAAGCCAAGCTACAATTGCATTATGAAGCAGTGTTTATTTACATTAGTTTACCCTTACATGTATGCATTTGACAGGTTTTTTTTTTCTTTCTTAAACTGACTTGCATTGCGTTTGACCAAGCTATGCATTTGATCAACTTGTGACCCTGGCATTGCTAGCACCATGATCTAGTTTTTTTTATTTATGTATGTATGTATGTATGTATGTATGTATGTATTTATCTGGAATTTATTTATTTAGCTAGCTAGCTAGCTAGTTGGTTAGGTAAATTATTAATTTATGTTTAACAACACATTTGCATATTAATGGTTCTCTGGTGATGGTAAATAATCACATGCCATGCAGGTAAACGAATAAGTGCTTTACTTAGTTTTGTTTTTAATATTTATTTAAATTTTATGATTTTATTAATTATTAGCTTTTCAGCAACTCGCGAACCTCAGGTTTGAGAAGTGTGTCAGACCTTGCAAAAAATACAGACTATTTCATTTTTTTTGTATGTTTTTTTCTGACTGAAATCAGACTTTTACAGTGTGTAAAAACACACTCAGTGATTCTCCTAGGCCCAGTTTACGCCTGGTGTCAGATCACAAGCAGCCAGGAGAGACAGATCACTGGTTATGCATCTTCTGTGACTGATTGTGATCAGATTTCAGTGTCAGTGTTCACTGGGAATTGATCCCATGGCCTTAGTGTTGTTTGCATCCCGTTCTGATTTTTAGCTTCATGAGCGCACAAATCATGCTGGACAAAGCCAAGCTACAATTGCATTATGAAGCAGTGTTTATTTACATTAGTTTACCCTTACATGTATGCATTTGACAGGTTTTTTTTTTCTTTCTTAAACTGACTTGCATTGCGTTTGACCAAGCTATGCATTTGATCAACTTGTGACCCTGGCGTTGCTAGCACCATGATCTAGTTTTTTTTATTTATGTATGTATGTATGTATGTATGTATGTATTTATCTGGAATTTATTTATTTAGCTAGCTAGCTAGTTGGTTAGGTAAATTATTAATTTATGTTTAACAACACATTTGCATATTAATGGTTCTCTGGTGATGGTAAATAATCACATGCCATGCAGGTAAACGAATAAGTGTTTTACTTAGTTTTGTTTTTAATATTTATTTAAATTTTATGATTTTATTAATTATTAGCTTTTCAGCAACTCGCAAACCTCAGGTTTGAGAAGTGTGTCAGACCTTGCAAAAAATACAGACTATTTCATTTTTTTTGTATGTTTTTTTCTGACTGAAATCAGACTTTTACAGTGTGTAAAAACACACTCAGTGATTCTCCTAGGCCCAGTTTACACCTGGTGTCAGATCACAAGCAGCCAGGAGAGACAGATCACTGGTTATGCATCTTCTGTGACTGATTGTGATCAGATTTCAGTGTCAGTGTTCACTGGGAATTGATCCCATGGCCTTAGTGTTGTTTGCATCCCGTTCTGATTTTTAGCTTCATGAGCGCACAAATAAAGGACGAAGCACAAACAAATATTATTATTATTTTTTTTTAAAAGGCACCTTGTTGCTCCCAAAAATATGAGAATTAAAAAAAAAAATTCCCAATAATTTTGAATCATTATTAATATTTATTTTTATTATTTTAATTCTTAAAATAAATGTTAATTATTTAAAATGAATAAATTAATTAATTAATTAATTAACGACAGTAATCTGTATTATTTAATTACAATAATAATGATTTTAATAAAATTAATTTTTTATTGCCTCAGTTTGTCGTTATAGGGCAGTTTATCAGAGCGAATGTCTGATGCAGATGTCAGAGGCCATAAAAAGGAGAATGATGCCTTCTGATCAACATGCAAATGATTCCTAATGCTAAAATGACACAGATTGCGTGCAGCTACAGGGCAGAGCAGCTTCTCAGATGATCTCTCAGACAGACACAGATGCTCTGAGAGACCGCGGTCACTTCTGTGAGACTTTGTGTGCACACTTTGCATCCTCTGTTGGCGAGTTCACAGCCTAAGCATCCAATCTAATGTATAATAAAAAATCATCGTTGCCAGATCTCACTAGAAAGGTAAGTTTTGTTTTGTTTTATTTATTCAAAACTCTTATAACTCAATAATTATAGTCTTGTGCCAATATAATTTAAATGCCTGAATACAAAATCCCCCACTCATGCTGTCACTTTATTATTATTATTATTATATATATATATTTTTTTTTTTATTCAAAAGTCTTTTAAATCATTATATTATTTTGCCTATATAATTTGCATGCCTGCATACAAACATTGTGGGAACACTGTTTTGAAATGTTTCTAAAACGTTGAAATCTCCAGTTTTCTTGTTGTGATTGGAACGTTATTTTAAGGTTATAAAAACGTTATATAGCTACAGTACAATTAAGTGCACTTCTTTTTTCACAAGGGCTTTTAACTATTTTTCATCAGAACTTTTCAAAAATGGGTGAATTGCATCTTTGTCCACCATGTTGTATGAATATTTAATTGTTCAAATGAGTACAATTTCACTGCCTAGCTTTGTGGAACAACCTTCATGTCAAAAGAGCACCTAGAACATCTTAAAATACCGCCTATATAGGGAGCACATTAGTCAGATAACAGTCTCTCAGGTACAAATGCAGTGAAGACTGCCTTTTTCAGTCGATTTGCATTTACAGCGGTTACGTCAGCCACGTGTTTGTGAATTGCATGTCACCTGAACTGTCTTGTCTGGTTTTTGGTTTGTTTTTTGCAAACATATGCAATTATCTTTGATTGATTTTTTTCACACATTAATGATCATTGTGAGGCTTCTCGTGGTCATAAAGTCCTCAGTGAAAACATTAGCATGATTGTCTCATGCCTGTTGGGTATTTAGTGGAGTTTCCCCTTTCTGCCTGGGACTTTCCCTTCACTGGCAGCACAGAAATCTAGACTGATACCCATCATGCACTGCACACAGAGCTACACGCTATGCTAATGTAGGTCTAACCTTTCCATTAAAAAGCTGTTAAATGTTCACTGAAGTTTCGTCATCACAACTCAGTAAAAAAAAATGGATTAACAATAATTAAATTTTTAACAATTACACTTGCAGAAAGCACATCTAATGGGCCTAAAATACTAAATAATAAGCCTAATCAGGGACAGTAGAGATCCACCTCAAAAAGCACAAAACATAAAATAACGCAGAAAAAAATGTATACCGTATATTCACAGTTTGCGATAATGATAATAGAAAATGAGAAAATGTAAAAAATACTTGAAGTTTATTAAATTAATAAATGTATTGATTTATATTAATGTTTTTTTTATCATAACTTTGTTGAAAATAGATTTTTGATCTATTTTCTATTTGCAATTGTTAGCATTTACTGTTTTTCATTGTGAGATTTTTGATTAGTTGCATTAAAAGAAGATAAGGTCAATTTGAC